GTCCCCAGTATCTCTAGCCCCCCTCCCCATATGCGCGTATTGTGTCGTATTGTGGAATACAGCTTGATATGGACTAAAATCACCACTAAATTCCAGTCCCCAGTATCTCTAGCCCCCCCCCCCCCCTCCCATATGCGCATATTGTGTCGTATTGTGGAATACAGCTCGATATGGACTGAAATCATCACCAAATTCCAGTCGTATTGTGGAATACAGCTCGATATGGACTAAAATCAGCACCAAATTCCAGTCCCCAGTATCTCTAGCCCCCCCCCCCCCCCCCCCCCCCCATATGCGCGTATTGTGTCGTATTGTGGAATACAGCTCGATATGGACTGAAATCACCACCAAATTCCAGTCGTATTGTGGAATACAGCTCGATATGGACTAAAATCACCACCAAATTCCAGTCCCCAGTATCTCTAGCCCCCCCCCCCCCCTCCCCATATGCGCGTATTGTGTCGTATTGTGGAATACAGCTTGATATGGACTAAAATCACCACTAAATTCCAGTCCCCAGTATCTCTAGCCCCCCCCCCCCCCCCCCCCCCCCCAATTAATATAAGTACATATTGTGTCGTATTGTGGAATACAGCTCGATATGGATTATGGACTAAAATCACCACCAAATGTGATGTTATCTATGATAAATCACATTTCTTGCACAACACGAGCTAATAAACTACAAGTTTGAGAGAAAGGAAGAGGCCCGGTATACTTGTATAGGAAGGCACGGTATAGTGTATACTAGGGAAGCAGGGTATATAGAGTTTTTACTGTACAATATTATATAATACATAATATCACGAGCCTCACTAACCGTTAAACCAGGTGTTCACTGTTCTATTTACAAGTTGGAGCACACTTCACTCACTTTCCTTTGTCTCCCATCCCTTTTGTTTACTTATCGTGTGCTCTCAACTGGTCTTCAGCTGAGTTTTGCCGGGAGGGTGTGTAATCTTGCAGCTATGACTGAACTAATATCTAGGTGCAGCATTAAAGCACGCTCTCCGTCCGGTCTTAACTGTTACGAAATTTAGGCAGATCGGAACTACGGTCAGTTTTAAGTTTTCCAATGTTATGTCGTCAATGAATTTTAAACAAGTTTGGTATCGGGTCGTTGTATGTTGCACCTGGGTTACTCATGATAACATCTGCAGCTGTGACGTAAAACTTTGGGTGTGTGTGATGGAGGGAATGATATCCCTTTCAGCTCGGTGTGGCTAAAACGTATATTAACAAAGCTATTAACAAAGCTATTAACAGACATTTCATGAGGCCTTGTTAAGAGTTTTCAAGGTCCCATATAAGGTATGAATGTTATCCAAATAAGGAGTTGTTGTGACGTAGTATTGTCGTGGTAGGGTATATTCAGCGTTTCGTTCGGTGTGTTGTGCAATGCTCTGTGTGCCTTAACTACATATCAGTTGAAGCACAATGTTACATTAATAGTTACTACTTGTACCGCTATCAGTCTGACTTTTGTGTACGGAAAATCTTTCACTCCGCGCAAAATATTTTGAATTATTAGAATTAAAAGTTATTAAAGTACCTTGTCGCTACGATATTTAATAATACTTTTATTAACTATGTAGAACTTTAATAAGCTGATAAATTCCTCACGCTTGAATTTTTACCGGCTTTTTATTTCTAGAAATTGTCACCAGTGGTCATCTGTCAAGAATCAGACTTCTGCAAGGAAACCAGAGTAAACAGTGTCAAGATTCCGAATTAAATTTTCAGCACTGACTGCGCTGGATTGCCTGGTTCCAATGTTCAGTTGGTTCGGCGATGGAATGTCTTTTCTGGGACACATTTTTTCGATATACATCGGAGTTTGTTTCAACAAATTAGACTACGTAGTTGTTAGGAAGCCTACAGACGAGGAGGATTCTTTATCAAACCTGGAAACTGTGGCTGATCTTGAAGCAAATCATCAGGCTTATGGATCAGTACGAGAATCAGAAGCTCAAGAATCAGTTAAAACGCAAACAGAAAAGGAAGAAAAAGAGACAATAACAGAACAACCGAAGTCAGATGAACATCTTAAAATTATAGGAAGGACTAGGGAAGGAATAGCCATAAAACTCATGTGATTAATTTTTGAGTTAGGAAGAAATCAGGAAGAAGGCATTATAATAGCTGGTCGTTATTTACTGCACTGCCACAATGTTTGAAACGAGTTGTTTAATGTCTGATGTTAGACGTGTTTAATGTTTATATTGATTGCAACAGTTCCAACATTTCCAACATTTCCATGTCGTGTATCCGCAGTGCTCAACAATAGAACACCACAGTTTCAGTTCAATCCAACAAAGAGCTTTACACATAGTCTGAGTTCTATGAGAAAAACAAACAATACATTTCAAGTTCACTAGAAATGGACAAGTAGTTCTAGAACTGCTGTTTGTTTGTCTTGTGGTTCTGATGGGAATATTGTGGTGCTGTTTCCCTGATTATGACTCTCCTGGTCATACCTCTGATCACCCAACTCATGCTGAACCATCAACTTCCGAAGTGGAAGAAAAGGGGAAGATAAAACATGAAGTTTCAACAGATGATTATCTTAGAATTATAGGTAGAACTAGAGAAGGAATACCCATAAAACTCATGTGATTTTCTTTAGTGTGCGTACTTGCGTGTTTCAAGCCATGGTTTGTGATTTTGGAGTCAGGAAGCAGGCATAGCTGTTCGATATATTGTTTCATCACTGTTACATTGTTTATAATGGGTTGTGTAATTTCGTTTGGAATTCCTTAACAATACAGCACACAGTTTCAGACCCATCAAATAAAGAGCCTTACACGTAATGTGAAAAACAAACAATACATTTTGTGTTACTAGGAATGCAGTTGAAATAGTTCTTGAACTTGCGTTTTGTTTGTGTTTCCATTATGAATGTGATAGGGATATTGGTATCCATTTTGGCTAGAAATTTTATACGCATTTGCATAGAATTAATGCCCTGCAAATATCATAACTCTGATGATATCTCTGAATCTCCTGAATCTCCTGAATCTCCTGAATCTCCTGAATCTCCTAAATCCCCTGAATCTCCTGAATCTCCAACGTATAATTATTATACGTTGGGTGAGAGTCAAAGCTTTGACTCTCACCCAACGTATGGCAGTACGGAATCGTCACCAGCTGGTGTGGAAGGAGAAACCGGAGAAAAGGATAAGATAAAAGAAGACATGATTGAATATGAATATTTAAGAACTGTTGGTGAGACTGAAGAGGGAGTACCCATAAAGCTCATGTGAAGTTCGTGTATTCCAGGCCAGAGTCAGAACAGTCGGCCTGAAGGCATAGCTGTCCATTATTCATGAACAATGATGACCCGTGTTAGGTCAGATGTTTCTCGTGTTTACAGTTCATTCCGATAAAAACAGCTCAATGTCAACAATGAAGTAGCTGGTCCAATTCCGTCTGATAAAGAACTTTAAACATGATCTGTACTTCGTGAGAAACAAACATCTAGTGTTCATAAAGAAAGCATTTCCTGTCACTAAAAATAAACATTAAACAAGTCTGTTCTACTTGTTTGATGTGTGCTTGTCTCAGTCTACTGTTTCTACAGATGGTGATGTTGTGCTGTTTCCCTGGAATGTCTGTAGTAGATGAGGACATGGCGCCCTGCAAATGTTTCCCAAGTGTTGACAAAGGTAATCACCCCGGTGATGGATCTAATCACCCTGGTGATGGATCTAATCCCCCACCTGGCACCAGTTCAGAACAGTGTCTATCCGGCGTGGTTGTGACTCCTGTCATAATCGTGCTCCACAACGAAGACACACTCTCCGCTCTGCCTCCACGTAGGAAGAAGACGGGGAGTAAAGTTAAAGTTAAGAGGACGAACAGTATGATAGATCAACTAGGTCTACACCAGATGCCTGGTTACGCCACTGGTCTACACCCTGTGAGATCAGAGACTCCTGTCAAGCAGCGTTCTCAATCTGTTAGTGCTTTAGACAAGTTCGGAGACTCAAAGGGTGAAGAAGCACAGGACACTTTTGAAGAAAGTTCTACATCAGACCGAACAGTTGGGGAGACTTCAGAGCGGAGAATTGCATATTCAAGACATGTCTCTGGAGACATTGATGATTTGGAGGACAGGAAAACATCTGTGATCAACTATTCTAATGGCTATGCTGTGAGGCTTAAGTAAATCGAACTTGTGTTGGAAATATTTCATGCTAAAATTAATTGACTCGACATCATACTGTGTGTAGTTATGTGTATGCGCTAAAAGCTGCAAGTTATTAGTCCAGTTGCAGTGCTGACTGACTAACACTCTATGCGGGCTTAAATTAATTAATATTCAGATATTCCAAATTTCAACTAGATTAACGTCACGAATTGGATAACATAATTCGTTGAAAAAAATGGCTTCGCTTGTTTAACTCCATAGGGAAAATATTATGTAAGATGCATCCTTTCATATGCAAACTGTTGGCGTCACAGTAACTCTGTAACTGTTATACTATGATGTTTATTTTTCGTTAACTAAGTTATTTAATATACGATAATTAAACAATAATTGCTTGAACTCTGATTTTAAAATTACGTTTTAAATTATGGTTGGATTGTAATATTTGTATTTAAAACCGAATTTCTTGAATATTATGAGTTATTGTCTTTGTCTTGTCTCCTCTCGGAATAAATCTGTCCGTGTTGGTAACCATGGTAACCAGTTTAAACATCAAACATCCCTGGATTGCTTTAAAAACAATTTCGTAAAGTGTTAAATTGTAAAATTCAACAGGTACTGAATTTATAAAAGACTTACATAATGTTATTTGTAATTGTGAGCCAACCTACCTGTAATTTGTGTCATGTCCTCCTGTCCAATAATTGAACTGTAACTGCAAGGCTGACCTGCTGTGTTTTGTTCACGCCTCAGTTCCAACTCAAATTTATCAAAACATCAACACTTCCAAAATACCCACAAACCAGACTGGAACTTACTTGTACTCTCATAACCCAGCTGTCATTTCCAGGTGTTACAAGCAGGCGGAAACAGTTACCACACTTCATGTTTAAAATGCTACATCTGCACGCAGCAGTTTGAGGAGGGTCAGGAGATCTTTATGCAGGACGAACTGTTCTGGCACACTGACTGCGATGAGACTACTGACAATGTGGTGGGTAAACGAGGGTTAAACTGCTTTTACAGATTTATATTTCACATCCGTATATTGTGTCAAATCTTTCAATTTTCATGACAACCTTTATTGTTTCAGATAGAAGAGCAAAAATCAGTTGCCCAAGCTGAAGATCAATCTGAGGTGTCAAAAGATGAAAAAGAAGAAGCAGAAAAAGTAGAAGCAGAAAAAGAAGAGTCGGAAAAGGAAGGAGAAGAAGAAGGGGAGAAAACACCACCAGAACTTGTCCTTCCAGGACCTCCCGACTCCACCCCGCCTCCAGACACGCCCCTAATGGACATTCTAGAGGACCAACTTGCCGGGCATGATAATGGGACTCTGGGACTCTGTGCTGATGATACTAGGGATAGGTCAAAATCTTCAGTTTCTATATTGTCTGATTACGAGGACCTCTCCGTGCTGCAAGAAGCTGGTAGAGAAGTCGTTTATGACTCTGATTTCGACGAACTTGCTCCTGACGTACCAGTACATCCCGTCCAACCTCGATCCATCCCCAGTCCTGAACCAAAACAGTCTGATAGCGATAGTCAGAGTCTAACATCGAAAAAACTTTTATCAGTATCAGAATCTCTTGCCAGCACAATCTCAAAGCCGGAAGAAGAAGAAAAGGAAGAATGTCCACCTCCAGTTCCTGAACGTCAATCAATAACAGAATCTGCAATTTCCGAGTCAGGCACTTCGGTAAGTAGTGTTCCCAAGGGAGGATCCGTATCAGAACCACAGAGCACTACAGTGGAATCTGATGTGGAATCTAATAAAGTGTTCGGAGACGTATCTGACACAGTAATGATCAAGGAGAACGGTAGAGGCTCCCTGACCAGTGAACAGGAGGAGGAGGAGGAAGAGGAGAAACACCTCTCTGTAAAGGAGATACTGCGGTTAGCTCAGGAAAAGGAGCGTGAGTTGATGGGTAACGCTGTGTTGGTTCGCAAGAACAAAGTAGATCCCACCATCTCCAGGCGATATCTCTCTACTGACTCGGAGAACTCAGATCGAGGCTCTGAAGCTAGTGATCCTCCCGCCAAACCTCCTCGTGCCCGCTCAAAGAGCCCTGTTAGGCACAACAATAAGCCGGAGATGATCGTACAGCCCACCATGAAGACAAGCGGAGAGCCCGACACGTCACCCAGTGCCACCCTGAAGACACTCAGATCTGTAGACTCGCCCATCCTCAAACTCATGGATGAAATGAGCAAACCTGACGATGAGCAGGTAAACTATAGCTTCTTTCTCTCTTTTATACTGCTTTCTAATTCGTTTACGGTTTAGCCGCCACGTGTAAATTGCGGGTGTTTTCACCTGTCGGGAATTCGTACAAATCAAGCCCTTTAAAAGTGCTCTATTAAAGTGCTTTAGTTCAGCAAAATCAGCATCTACAACTTTACAGCTCACCTCTCAACAACATTCGCACCTCATAGCCTTAGCCGTTATATATATTGACATCCTGTGTGTAACGCGTTACAAATACCACTCCTTTCTGTAGAATATGTTTGCCTAAATATGTACTTTGTGCCGTATCCTTGAGTTTCTGTCCGTTTATTTCAGTCATATTCCTGCTGGTTGAGTAGATTTAATCTAATTTTCTCTCTGCTTACATTTTCTCTCTGCTTATATTAGGTTTATGTATTCCTACCGCCTTCAGTTAAACCACTTTGGCTGTGATTTCATTTAGTTTGTTTTGCGTTTACAGCAGAGGTTTTGTTATACTTGCTTTTATAATGTCTGATAATGATGATTACGTAGAATTGAGTGCAATGCTTGAGATGGCCCTGGGAAGCGATTCAGCTGAAGCTATGGAAAAACAGCAACAACAGATATTGCAAGAACAACAGCAAGAAGAGGAGCAACAACAACAACAGCCGCAAGAACAACAAGAAGAACAACCACATGAAGAACAACCACAAGAACTAGCAGTGGTTGATGATGGTGGTGATTATGTTGAGCTGGCTGATGATAGGGTCGAGAATGGTGAGAGTCAAGAAAATGGAGTTGAAGAAAATCCAGAAAATGGGTTGGTTGATGCTGTAATTGAGAATGGCAAAACCGAAACAAATGGTGTCGAAGAGAACCCTGAGAATGAGGTTAAATTCAAACGATATTCATTTTCTAACCAGTTTAAGTAGCTTTTACGAATTTTTAACGATGAACAAATTAATTTTGATCGTATCGTTTTTGACTCATTCGATTTCTATTTGATACAAATTTTCGTGAAAATTGAGTTAAACAGACCCAGGTATCCGAGTCTCCTCCTCCTCCAAACCCATGGAAAGACGAACCTAAAAGCTGTCAACCCAACTACAGTGTTCCTAAAACTCTCTCCAAAGTTCCACTACCGGACAGCCCTCCAGCTGAACGTCGTCCCAAGAAACCCTCCCCTCCGACTACTCCCAACGTGGATACACTGAAACTCATTGAGGATCAAATTGAAAAACCCAAACCCGAAGCCTACAAGGAAACAGAAATGGATCAGATCAGGTTGCAGGCTGCTAACAAGGTTTTGAAGGTGTACGAGGAGAAGGACGTTGATTGGGCGAGCAGTGCTGCTCGTGTCGTTGATCGTGTGGTTAAGCATGCTCTACCAGCTGATCAGAATGGAACCGAACCCGAGGTGAACATAGTACTGTCTGGTAAACGTACATCCAGCGTGTAATTCTTTGTGCGGTATTCGAGAAGTTCGAATGTAAAACTGGGAGTTGAATCTTTAAAACAATGTTGGACTCTCAGACTTCATGACTCCTATTCTAACAATCATGATGATTGGAGCTCAGCATAACTCACACCTCATTCCATAACAAGCATTTTATCACACCCACTAAATTATTCCACCCAACCTCATCTTCCCCACTGACTCTTGCAAATCCATAAAAAATGTCTCCTTATAGAAATGATCTCAGTTATTGTACGTTTTCTCTCCCCATTTACTTGACCGAAGATACCTAATAAATCCTGTTTTCAGATCGACTATCTCGACTACCAAGAGACCTACGATATCTCAATCCTTCAAACTCAAAAGGTGTGGTTATGTTTTTAACTTCTGGTTGTTGTGATCTCAACTTTACTGTCAAACTTTATTGCGGTATTAATACGCTATGTTGTAACAAGACACCATTCTTCTCTCCTAGAGAAGCAATATTTAATTTGAATCTGAAAATTTAGTCACCGATTATTTCACTTTCTAATATTTTGTAAGTTTTCAATATCGATCTGTCACGTGACTAACGAAATGTATCTCCTCAGATGCGCCTACCCCAAGGCATCGACCGTTCTCAGCTTCAAAACTATCTGGCTGAGGATCAGTTCGAGGCAGCGTTCCACATGTCATCTGAGAAGTTCGTCTCGTTACCTCTGTGGAAGAAAACGAACTTAAAAAAGAACCTGCATCTATTCTAATAATAGACCATTTTATGTGATCTCTTTTATGAGGAGTAGCGTTCAAAAATAGATACATTTTCTGCGGAAAGTACGAGGACCCAAAAATTGTACATAGTTTTGGGTCTGTAGGACTATAAATGATGTACAGTATATTGACACGTGACTTATGAGGTCTCGCCACAGCACACCCACCATGGCAGTTAATTTATTATTTTCGTTCGGTTTTAGAATAAGTTTTCTACTTTATATTTTTAGATTTTATATCGCTGTCATGTTGGCAAAGCACGGCCAAAGGTTTCATTTTGCCGATTTTTCCTCCTTCCTTTTCCTATATTCCTGGGCGTGATAACAGATCTACGGTTTTTCTTTCGCGACATATTAGCGAAAACTGCATTCACACTTACACCTGAAACATAATATTGTAAAAATGAGGGTGGATGTATTGGCATTACACCTGAAACATAATATTGTAGAAATGAGGGTGGATGTATTGGCGATGTAGGAATGCAATTCCCCGCTCCTCACGGACAATGTACGAACAATGTTTACAAAACGAGATTAATTACTAGCGACAAGAGTTAGAACACGAGGTTTTATTATTGTGTAATATTACATTATATAGCGCTATCGGACAAATGTGTGTTCCTTGAAAAATTATTATAATGTTATATTGATATGGTTATAATAATGACGTTGTTGATTTCAATTAAGTGACTAAATCTTTATTATAATCAAAGTTCTAAAACATAACGCTGTATAAAAGTGATCAAATTAGATTTGTTTAGTAAAGGATAATGAATATATTGGAGAAGTTTAGTTTTTTTAGTGAAATATGCTACTGTACTTTTTAAATTCTGGAATGTTTTATTAAGTCCGTGTTTTATTAGAATAGTGCATTCCTCTCATTGCTTTCTGTCAATAAGTCAAGGATCAGCAAGACTTCTAGGTCGCTATAAGGATTATATTTGCCATGAGTTATCCTGGCATCGAAATTTATTTTTTCTTTATATAATCGAGGTAAAGCCCCTCATGTACAACTGCAGACAATGTTAACAAAGTTAACTAATATGATAATATTATAAATATTAGACAATTTATAAACTTACTAGGACAGGATGGAATGGACACCAGCAGTGAAGTCACATAACATACATTCTTACCGGTGGAGCAACAAACACCCAGTCAATATTATCCAGAATCTGGTCTCTCCCCACATTGATCAGCAAGATTCTAGTGACCTGTCACCAGGGGTTCTAATCGCTCATAATGGCAGTGATATAATATATGTTTCATCGGAGAACACTGTCACTGTGCTTCTAAACCTTACTGGTCCTGAGTTAATTTCTCCCGAGACTGGCGAGAAGACTGATGTGGCTAGAGAAGTAGCTCTTCTTCCCAACATAACAGATGCACAGGTATTTGAAACGCAGCTGTCTGTAACTGGAATATCAGTTGGGTGTAACAATACCGTTATCATCTGTACAATGTATCATGTGATATTGCTAAGGAAAATATTTGGAAAGTATGAGAAACAACTGTTACACGAATCTGATGAACATGTCTTGTCGGTGTTTGAGGGGCAGGACAATAATATCTACATTCTCACCATTTCTACGATATCGGTAAGTGGGGATGAAGGAGAAATTACACCGCTTATTGATATATCGGAACTGTGGAGGGTGACCCCGGTGGAACGGGTCGCGTTTACACAGTACAAACAGTGGTTTGTTGTTGTTGAACCCAGTGCCATCCACTTCATCAACGAAACAGATCTTCACACACCGTGTACTATTCCTACTGATTATCTTGAGTTTACCGAGAGGCTCCTGAGCGCTGTTATCATTGAAGATAAGCTGATCACTGCAACTTCAAGTTATTTGGTAGTTTATGATATTTGGACTGAACTCAGTTTACTGAGTTTAGATGTAAAACTGAAAATCTCCCACAATGTTGCAGACGCTCATTTTGCTCAATTTTACCCACGAAAAGGACTCGAATCAGACATCTCTTTCTGCATTGATAACTTTGAATTCTCAGTGATGTCAGATCAAAAATGCTCATTTTTCAAATTAGAAGATAATCCAGACACTGATTTAGTGACGTTTATCATCCCTTACAAATTTGTAAAGATGAAGTCTATTCAGGTGGAAGTACTAGACAAATCAAGCTACTTAAATCTGAATGTAGACAAAAGAAATAATATCACCCAAAGAATTAATTCTGGTATTTGTGGAGCTTCTTCCTCAATAAACAGCGGTTCACATTTTCTTTTAAACAAAAACAAGGATCTATTCTCTGACGAACTACTACTAAACGACTCTTATTCCAAGGAAAAGATGTGGAACTCGTGGCTGTCGAGCATATCATTAGATGAGGAGTATTGGGTCGATATCCACCCTGTAGATGTGGCATATGATTCATTGCTAAAACAAGGATTAGTAACCACCAGATCCCAGACCCTAGAGGATGTGCCTTATAAACGTGTATATGGTCCCCGGGGTCGCACTAAACACGACCGTGCTATTCCCATTTCTCAGACACATTGCTTACAAGACTCAGATCTAACTAACTCAGTGTTACTTAGACCAGTTCCTACTACACAGGATCCAGTTTTGGAGGGGGTCAAGGATAAGTACGTCAACTTTCTTCTCGATGCGTGGGACTGGACATAATTCGAAACTTAGTTCTAGCTATTTGGTTATTTTATTTCGGGTAGGTACTTGCGTTAATATGAAACTTTACCCTTTGTTTATTTATTCATGTTAATTATTTAGTCCATGCGGTTTTACGAGATTTTTTATTGACTAAAATTTCACTTTTAACCCTACTCGTGTTTCATTGCAAGGTTCAATAAATTATAGAAGCATTCATAATTGCACGGTAATGATTTTGGCTACGATGTGGTTATATTTTTGTTACAATGCGGTTAGTACAAAAAAACATAAAATTGAAACATTTTTGTCTTGAAACCCCTAAAATTAGATCCCGATAAGGATGTTAACTCTCGAGGACCTTGAAGATATTGATGTGGAGCAGGAAACTGTTCTTGACCGATACTATTCCAAGAAATATTACGTTGGTAAGTATTTTCGTGACTTTAGTGTTTTCGCAATATTTGTTGAAAGTTCACGGCTTGACGTTTTAACGCTAAATATGCCTTTGTCCCGTTTGTACGACTCATATAGGACGATTTCGGTTGTCAACAAGTCTGTCAGTCTTTCGGTATTTGCATGAGAATCTGTCGTTTTAGTTGGATTAGCTCGAGTGATTTAAAGCTCTAAATAATTTGCTGATGTGCATGTGGTAAGTATTATATATATTATATATATATGTGATAAATTTCTCAGCAATGTAGGGTTTGGCTAATCTTAATAAGCACGCCCCCGTTTTACCCAGCCATCTTGTCTCTCATCTCCTCACCTCATTTCAGATGCGGGCAAGGTTGAGGGAAATGATCAGATAGTGGCTCAACATCACAACGGGTATATTCAATAATATTTACTTTATTTAATAATATTCACCTTATACTGAATATCACAGAAAACTCTTTAAACTCTCAGATTTATGTCCTTTGTTTAAAACTATCGGCTATATGTTTAAAACAAGAAAGTAACAACCGGTTCGTTATTAAACAGGTTGTGCGTGGTTATGATACCTCCGACACAAAGTAACAACCGGTTCATTATTAAACAGGTTGTGCGTGGTTATGATACCTCCGACTCACCCAATCTGCTCAAAAACAGTGCAGAGTGTTGATTACAAGATTAGTGACACATGTGATCGGTCTGACATCGTTTTGTCCGGCAAAAAGAAACGGGGTAAAGACTTTCACTGTTTAACGATTTTAACTAATCTCCTTCTCTACAGGCGAAACTGTAACAATCTTGTGACTTGTGAGGGAGTTATCAACTTTATTATTTACATACCAGATTTTTAACGATTAATTAATGTAATTGTTTTTTCATCCAGGAGCTTCGTTTATGAATCCCCAATCTAAGATGTGTACTGTGGTGTGCACAGATGGTTCATCTTACGTTTTGCTATGTGGTGTTCGGGGTAAACTGTTAGAGGTGAACGAGGCCTTGAAGACTTCACCCCAGCTTCTATCCGAACGAGTAAGTGCCTGTAATTAGTTCTTTAATTTCTTGCTGACTTCGTGTCACCGGCTATTTGAAGAGTTTTAAGATTTTATCAGGTTTCGGTATGATAAAGTGTAGAACTCAGGAGCCAAAACTGAGATTTGTCAATTTTCAGTGTGATTCAGACGGGTACATTGCGATAATTCAACCGAAGAAAGAAGAGGAGAAGAATGCGCTGAGAGAACTTTTGTCCGAAGAGGATTTTGTAAAACATAAACAATCCAGGACTAATAACAAACATAAACTTAATGAGACTGAGGAATCTGATTCAAAGAGACTTTGTCAATCATAGCTGGATCGGGATATATTGGATTGTCAAATTATATACTTTGCCGGAGAAACCGCCAAATTATGAAGTTTTATGACGAGGCCACTATCGGTCACGGTTTAAAAGTTTATGTATTGTGACGCGCGGGACAATTTTATCAGCCTAAGCTTGCGGCTCTATTTGTAATTTCACGTGTTTCAGTTTCTACGTAGCGCGCAACAGAAAAAATGTTTCGGTTTACATATTATAGAAGCTTGTTAGTATAGAAGCTCCTTGCATGAACTATATGAACGTATCAGTGCGAGGGTCACACTGTCCTCTTTTTGTATTGCTTTTACAAATTATCACATGTTTCCAATGAATAATTTCAGTTCTCCCTTTACGCTATCAAGGATATTTTGTTTAATTAGCTACACCAGTCAATTGACTGCAGGCCAATATTGCTAGTATACAGTATACACCGTCACAATGCCAGCATTTGCTTTTCCTGCCAAGATGTGCTAAAATCTGTAGTTGAAACGGAGCACGTTGTGTACTTTGACTCCGTATAGTGCAATATTAGGTGGAATGTGTCCGTATTTGTTCCACTCGGTAACAGACCAACCTGCACGGCTGCACGGTGGCTTGTTATTTTGCAATCAGCCAATTTCCGATTGAATGGGTACCCGTATAGTCAGGTACAACTAATAAACCCTGTGATCTATACTCCAGAACACCGGCAATGTCCGTCGTTCATTCCATCTCGACATTTACTATCAGTTATTTATAGCCTATAATATGTTATATAGCCTATAATATGTTATATAGCCTATAATATGTTACATAGCCTATATAGCCTATAATATGTTATATAGCCTATATAGCCTATAATATGTTATATAGCCTATAATATGTTATATAGCCTATAATATTTTATATAGCCTATAATATATTATATAGCCTATAATATGTTATATAGCCTATAATATGTGAGTCTACGGCCCTTCAATTGTACCGGTGGCTCACGACTCAGCGACTCCTCTCTATAATTATCTCTAGTAACTTAGTAAAGTAATTATCATAACTGTAACGCAAGGAACTACACTCAGAGTAAACGTATTTTCTAAGTAAGCTGATAGCAGTGGGTACTCTGAAATATAGTTGAAATCTGCTGGTTCAGGTTTCAATGATGTAAACGCTGGTTAAGTGGGCCGTAAATTGTTTGAGTTGTCGTTACAAAACTATTCCTATGCTGTTGTTTTAAAACATTTTACCGTCCACATTGAGTATATATCCCATATATTATGCTAATTATAAATTATAATGGTTGTCCATCTTTCGTCTGCCCCACACCGTTAACACACTAGACCCTTCACAATGGCCTTCAGACGGAGGTAGGGTAGCTTTATCACTCGTTTATACACTCGTTTATACACTCGTCTAGTACGGAGTTACTTGTGTTCTGTTAAATCGCTTTATTTATGAATATTTTACTATCTAACAACGGCTTGATAAGTAGAGTAGGTTGCTAGTCCGCAGGTTGTGTGCTTTTTAAACACGATACGGATTCATGTGGGTTACTTACTGCTTTCATGTTATCTATAAAGTTGAACCAACGTATAATATCATTCAGTTCCGTGTGCCCACTGCAGAGCTAATTCTCAAACTGCTTTACCTATTTTCCTCTGAAGTAATCACAAGAGTCGAGCTGAATCTAGGTGATATTCATGGGCGGTCCTCTTAGCTTAAAAAGCATATAATTACTCTACACGTACAGTACAATTAGGTGGATGGCGTGACCTGCTTTATGGTCATTACATGGAATTGTGCAAATCATGGTGTGATCCTAATACCTCTATAGTGCGAATTATATGATTTGGATTATGAGTTGGGGCACAGTCTTACTGCTGAACTAGTATAGGTTATAGTATAGGTTCTAGGTGCGTTATCCTGCTCCTGCGCGGCGTATCCCGGTATCCTGCTCCAATTTTATGCTGCTCCGTATTAATACCACAGCTGAAGATAGAGAGCCTTCTATACTGACCCACTGCATGATGTTCAGGGTGACTTTGCACTCAATGCACTCAACACATTTTCTTTAATGTAAGTTGAGTGCATTAAGTAAGAGGTCTTTGAGACTTAAATGACATAATTCAATTCATCGACTGTTATAGTCTAAGTCTTAGAATATATGTTATACTGGGGGGATACCAATGGCATAAAATGGCATACGTTTTATGGCATAAATGGAAATTTTTATTGGCCAATTCTCCATTTATGCCATGAATTTAGGTCTTCATATTTGACTTTAAATTCGCAAATTATTATTAGTACTTGAATAAGAGACATGTTTCATGCTTTATAACGCTTGGAATGATCGTTAAAGATTCATATGACAAATAAAGAAACTAGAAATGTATTATATCAAAAATGGCATAAATGGCATACGTTTTATGGCATAAATGGAAATTTTTATTGGCCAATTCTCCATTGTGCCATTTATAAAGCAATGAAAGGCATTAGTTTGGTCAAATCAAACGGAACATATGCTATCAGACTTTCAACTGACTATGGCAGGGTTAAAACAGTTTTAACGCTAGCAACGATCCCCTTTTACATAGTTCCGCTAAAATGATAATTTAAGATTAAATATGTATACTGTATAGTGATAGGTAGATAAAGTAAAAAATGTAATAAAACGGTACTAAGTAAACGTAATCGACACGTCATAAAATGAACTGCCCCAAACTACAATTACTCCCGCGTAATTTCCCGCGTAATTCTAAGACTCCGATTTGCGCCGCCGCAAAGTTATTATAAAACTAAATTCAACACGTGCGACAAATATCTCGCAACATAAGAAAAGGATGCCATAGGTCAAGCTATGTCATTAATATATTTCCACACCCAATACCAAACTTATTCTTTAGCCCATGCCTCTTTACCACTGATAAGTATATTTTACTAAGACGATCCCGTCTAAAACCCAACTCAATTAAATCATCAGTAAACTTTAAAACCCTATCAGAAAAAGCAACAATGTTATTACAGATCCTAGAATATCTCACAACCTGTGAACAGTACGTGCCATATAATACACTACTAGCTTGATTACTCATCAAGGGTTGAAACTTGACCACTTTAAAACCAAACTTATCCCTTTTATCATAAACTCTACAAGAAAACTTCCCCTCGCTATTTATCGAAATATCAAGATCTAATACATTGGCGGCACTATCTACTTCATTTTCCTTATTAAGAGTAAGAGAGTCTGGATATATTAACTTAAAATATTCCTCTAAGTAACCATCAGAGTTAAGGGTAGTAATATCATCTATAAGTCTAAATGTATTATTTAACTTCTTTACAATATAGTATCTACTTTTATACGTACTGTCTAGGAAACTGTTCTCAAAATACCAAAGTGTTAAGTTAGCAATATATGGACCAGGGTTGATTCCAATAGGTACACCGATATGTTGCCGATATAAGATCTCTCCTACTTTAAAATAACAATTATCTAGTAGAAACTCAACACATTTAATCAACTTAACTTCATCAAAAGCCACAGTCCCATCTCTAAAGCTATTAACCCAAGCAGACCCTTTATCGTAAACAGCTATAAACTTCTTTTTACTATTCCTAAAGGCCAATTTAACAGTAAACTTGAGAGCATCCTTGATATCTTTATGGGCTAAATTCGTGTATAAAGTAGAAAAATCAAAAGTTTGGATGTTTCTCGCTAAGCTATTATCATTAATTTTATCTAAAGCTTCTAAAATCGGCTTATTATTCAAAATGACCCAATTCCTATTAACTCCTGTTACTTTAAACAACATGTTAGTATATCTGCAGATCTCTGAATAAACAGCCTTTAAGGCTAAAGAAATCTTTACTGCCAAGGGCTTAATACTACAATTAGCATAAGAAATAACATACCTAAACTTTAAAATTGGCTTATGAAATTTAGGACTCGAAAACATGTGAGGTAAAATATCAATATTAGAATCTACTTTTATCCCAACGTCTTCTATAAACTTGAAAATATCTCTGTTAATATCACGAACTTCATGCTCCCCACTAACATCATCAATACCCTCATTAGATTGACACTCTTGTATAATATCACTTAAATAATAATGTTTACAAATAATAGCGACGTTCTTAGTTGCTTTGTCCACCGGACATAAAACAAAATACTTTCTGATAAACGCTAATTCTTCACAAGCTTTATCATTACTAAACACAGATTTCCGTTTAAGCTGTTTAGGATATTTCATTTTAAGAGCTTCAGTATTCTTCTTAACAATATCACTAAATTCATTAAACCAACCATTTAAACATGCACTATCGATTTTCTCTTTCCTACTCCAAGGTTTTAAGATTTCTTTAACATTATCTATTACCGAATTACAATTCTTATCAAAATCTATCGTTTTAGGTTCTTTATAAGAAGGACCTTTCTCTAACAGACTTCTCAAGGCGTCGTGCTTTACAAAATTAACATCCCCAGTCACAACATGACCACAATCCTGATTTACGAAATCAGTAAACATATGACATTTGCATTCTAAAGGTTCAGTGTCTCCCTTAACAACGTTATTATAATTAAATAACTTCTTAGAAACATTATCAGTACCTTTATATACAACAGTAGGTTCTTTAATGTTACAAAAATTAACAAACGATTTCAAACTAGGAGATCTAAAAACTCTAGGTAAATTTAACATTTCAATACCCTTGTTCACAAAATCAATAGAACATAAAACTTTAGGCTTACGGACGCTCTTACTTTTATCAGTTCTCGAGTTAAAAGGTCTAATTTTATAAGTGAATAAGTCCATTATAATACAATGTATCTGAGATCTACTAGGGTCTAGGTTATCAATTTGAAAAACTTTATCTAAATAGCTCTCTTTAAGTTTAACGAGTGTAGACTTATTTAAAGGAAACAATAATTTACGTAATAAAATATTAACATCGCTGTGAAATGGTTCAACAACTAAACGTAATAATTCACCCAAAATATTGTCAATATCAAACTGAGATAAATCGCTTTGCTGTCTATCAGCCCAGGATCTCTTTCTAGAGCTATCTTTACAAGAAATAAATTTAGCATATTCACAATTATAACTATCTTTATTAGCTAAACTATCAATCCTATCATTAACCCCATAAGGAAATTGTGTTTTAAGTACTCTGATCCAACGATCTTCATGTCCTTTCCTAATTTTAGAAATATTTTCATCAATAACAAATTTAGTAGAATTA